ACCGGGAACGAAATCATCAAATAAACAGTAATAGATATCAAACTTGGAGTACATGATAGTTGGAGATGGAAATTTCAAAGTGAATTGTGAAGTGCTACTGAATGTTATTTAGTTACGGGATATATTATTTGTAACAGGGGATCAGAAGCTCGATGGGCTTATTTTGCAGACTTGTAATGCGTCGGCATCATACAGGGGCATATTCTCAGATTGGACTTACCTTTTCAGAAACGGCTACATTTGGAATAAAAAAGCTCCGCGACAAACTAATATCACATTCGTGGAAAATACGCTAGCATTTCGAAAATTTTTATTCAATATTGCCATAAAAAATACTGGAGTGTAGTGAAGCCCTATTTAGAAACAAGAAAAGTCTGCCCCATCGATATCAGCGTCAAACTGACATGAGATTCCTGATCTACGCACCCGATTAACCCAAGAAACTTATGATGATTGATATTTAAAAATATGGTAATTTTTTTTGAAAAATTGTAAATGTAAACGAAAGAAACTCGGTGCATGGTAATTTATGAAGCTGATTTCGAAGATGCTTAATTCATATTTAGAGTAGAAAAGTAGCCTCCCGTAGATCTTAGCGAAAAACATCAGACTTGTGCTTTACGCATCCGATTTACCCACCTCTATACAGGGTGTTCATTTCCCACCACGGATTTATCGAAACACCCTGTATATAAATGTGAATGACTGTGTAGACCATTGATTCACAAAGTGGTCTATATCGAGCTGCAAGGGGTCTACGTCAGCGAAAAAAAATTTGGGGGTCCATGAAATGAATATCCACGATAGTGGATCTCAATACACTGATAGTACCTATTTACTTACATCATACTATCTTATAATATCAAAACATATACATTATTTATAAAAGTACCTATGAAGTTAAAAGCTTATTATATATGTTTATAAAATTGTGTAAGTTTTAGGATGTTGGTATTCGCTTTGTGGTCGCAATACATTTTGAACTTGTAAAAACCTGAGAGTCGCAGTCTCAGAGCTTCGCTACCTTGCAATGACTTGTTCAATTCGTGACTCTATAAATACGAATGTGGGACAAATACGTTTATTCGTTTCTTGAATCTTGAAAAGGAAAGTGCTAAGAAAATATTTTAAAAAATATAAACAGATAGTATATCACACAAATTATAGTGAGTCAGTGTTATTTTGTTTGAGAGTGCTGGAGAAAAGTAAGTACATTATTTGTTATTAAATTTTAGTTTTCTACTCGTAGTTAGCAAAGATAGATAAATTACGCCAATCATGACTTTAGTTATTAGTAGTTAAATATTCAATCATGCAAAATTACACGAGTACTCCTCACTAGTTTCTTTTTGAAAGTTTTAGCAATCGGTAATATAATTACAGTGCAATCTCCGTAATTCGAGCTAATTGTTGCAAGAAGATGTGAGTTTCGTCGCCACTTCAACATTCATCGGAATAGAGCTGTTTCCTCTCGAAACACCATCCTTCGTTGGGTTGAATCATTTCGCAGGCGTGGTGAACTGATCAACAGAAGACCAAGAGGAGCGCCGTGAACAGTTCGAACTCCTGAAAATGTTGAACGCGTTCGACAGGTCTTTCTTCGCAGTCCGACTCGATCTGCCCGGAAACATGCTGCTGCACTTCGCCTTAGTGATCGTTCGGTAAGGCGAATTTTGCATATGGATCTCCGCTTTCACCCCTACAAATTGGCCATTGTGCAACAGTTACAGCCCGGAGATTATGCACAACGAATGAACTTCGCACGTGAGATGGAAGCACTGATCGATCAAAATGAGAACCTCATTTTGTTTATGAGTGACGAAGCCCACTTTCACCTAAACAGCATGGTTAACTAGCAGAATTGTCGTTATTGGGCTAATGAAAATCCGCAACAGTTACACGAAAGACCGCTGCACAGCCCAAAAGTAACGGTTTGGTGCGCTGTATCGCAAACTTGCATCATTGGCCCTTACTTCTTCGAAGACGGTAATGGTCGTGATGTTACCGTGAACTCAGAGCGCTACATCGACATGATCACCAAATTCTTTCTCCCTGAATTACGACGGCGACGTGTTCCAATCCGACGTGTGTGGTTCCAGTAGGATGAGGCGACCGCCCACACAGCCCGAGCATCCATGGACGTTATTCGCCCTCTCTTCCCTGGTCGCCTCATTTCCAGGTTTGGCGATGTTCATTGGCCTCCTCGGTCCCCAGATTTATCCATATGCGATTTTTTCTTATGGGGACACCTCAAGGCTAGAGTATACGCGAACAAGCCCCGAACTCTGGACGAATTGAAGGGCGAAATTCGCGTGGAAGTCGCTCAAGTTGAGAGAGCGATGTTGGAGAAAGTCTACGCGAACTTCCAAGAACGCCTCCAGCACTGCATCAACGATTTCGACCACCACATGCCTGATGTGATTTTCCACACTTGACTGTCTCAAATGCTATTCCCTTGTTATGGAATCAGCACCAATAAATTTGTTTTAAAGTAAAAATTAACTATTTTATGATTTTTTTAAAACCGTCCATCCTCTCTGCCGGACCCTGTATATGGTATGGATGGATCTGGTGTCATGTCTCAATGGTGGATCTCTGAAGCAGTGCTATGGTTAATAGAAAGCAGTAGTCAAGAAGGATTTTTTTAATGAACATACCGAAAAACCCTAAGAAGCACTTTGCAAATCGATTCGCTGTGGCTCTGAGACAACTATAGTGTATGCAAAAAAGTGGCATTTAGTTTTTTGCTAAACATAAAGCTTAACATTCCGCATCATTGAAATTTCTCGACCCATGTCCATATTAACTATATCATATTTTTACGTACTTAATCTGGTCCTAAATTTTCCTGACAACACCTTATATAGAGTGTACATTCTTCCTTTAAGTGTTCTCAGACTATCCTTGTTTATATTCCCGTATACGTGGGCAGCATATGCATCGGAAGCAATAATAAATATGTTCCTGTAAAACGCTTTTGACTATCGCATTTATATGGACAAGCGGCAGCGTGAAACTTTTATGACACCAGACGAATTGTGGAATTTTATGCTCTCAGCCATATAGTATAAGGTGTGCCGATGTCTGCATGCTGAGTACGTCCTTTATTTTTGTCTAGAAGTTAAAATACTGTTGAAGGTTGAAATAGGTTGTGGACGTATTTATTTTTATATTTGGACCACCAAGCAGACTTTAGGGAGGGAACACGTGAGCTTGCGACATTTATTCATTCAGGCCCAGCCTTAGAGATAGGTCGGGTGGTACCTCCACGCTCGACTGTCTGAGACCGCCTACCACCTACGGACCATTGCGGAGAGCATATAGCTGCTATTGTTTGAAATTGTAAAGATCTCAGCTCGCGGTAAATAGCCTGGCCACCATGTGACCGCTAGATGGTTGACGATTCTGGCTGTATACACTGCCATGCAAAATTTACCGCACAAACAAAATGTTGTACAAATTAAATTTGAAGTAACTTTTTAGCCTTTGCATCAATTTCGTTAATTTTTCGTCAAGCTGTAGCTAATTTCATTGCCATCATTATCGACTGACGATCTTGCAAAAAATTGAAAATGTCTGTTGTTATACAGGGTGTAACTAAAAGGTGTATTTTGGCCTAAATTTCTGGACAGCCTCTGTAAACATTGGATTACTGAATAATGTGTCTTCGTATGAGAATTTTAAGCCTCAACTTTTCTCAAAAGTGTTTTTTGTCAATATCTCAATTATTGAAGAATATATGCTGCTTTGAAGAAAATCATGCGAATCATAGCCATAAACAAGAAATTGTTTCAAGCACGCTTTGCCGGGTAACAAATTGTTCCAAGTAGGCTGTGTCTGTTAGCATTTTTATGATGTCCAAAAGATTCTTGTCAAGCAATACTTAACAAAAATGACACAACAAGTAGCGCAAGCTGTAGCTTTACAAGATGATGGTCTTCCTATTCGGTATATCGCAGAAAGGCTTGCCGTTCCACGCAGTACGGTATTTGATGCGATACAACGATCTGAAGAAACTGGTTCTTACTTAAGAAGACCTGGGCAACAAACGCAGTTGAAGATCGGTTCTGAGACTTCATGGTCTTCGAGAAAGGACAGTTCCTGCTACAGCTTGGTCTTGAAGATTGGATGATGTTCATGGTACCATAGGTGTTCAGAAATTTAGGGCAAAATGCACCTTTTATTTACACCCTATACAACAACAAACATTTTCAATTTTTTTTGCAAGATCGGCAGTTGATATTGACAATGAAATCACCTACAACTTGACGAAAAAATTAATGAAATTGAGGCAAAGATTCAAAAGTTACCAAAAATTTTATTTGAACAAAATTTTGTTTGACCCGTTCATTTTGCGAGGCAGTGTCGATGTGGGCAACTTGGAGGCAAAAACTTTGTAGTTTTTGAAAATCGCTCAAAATTGGTTTTTTGACGTTTCAGACGATCTTGATCATTTTTTAAAAAACTTTTGTAGGGGTTGAAAATTATAGTTTGTATATTTATATGCCTCCAATCCCAGGAGTTCTTCGCACATATTAGGCATATTTCACTCACCATAGGCGCCTCAGATGGACAAGCTTCATCGTCCGAGGTCGTACACCACAGTCGACAATCGCTTCCACACTACTGTGGCTTGCGTGCACTGTGCATGGCCAATATCATCATTAACGCGGGATTGTTCATCGCAACGATCATTTGCACCTGTAGCAATTTCTCTCATGGGGGAGAAGGAAGGTCACTTAATTTTTTGTTATAACTTTTTACTCAGAAGGGCTAACTTGTGTCAAACAGAATCCTTTACGAACTAATGACAACATAGCGTGGCAAGTAGAGTGAAATTAGTTGATGTCATTTTTTGTGTTCTGATGCTGTTACATAGATGGCGCTAGGATCTTTCAGATCCCTTTTTAACGTTGATCAATTCCACTACATAAACATGGTCTTTCCACCGTCAATGTGCTAATGATCGCATTTTTGATTTTAGTCCCTCATTTTTGCAGGTTCTGTCTTCAGCAATCATCCAACACCGAGGTTTATTTCTCGAGGTAGCACATTCAAAGTCGTGACTGGGGACACCGTTGTACTGCCTTGCGAAATACAAAATTTAGGTAAGTCCCAGTCAAACAATGTAATTAGATTTTTCAAAATTTTTACTTTCACGGAATGTCAATGTTTTGCACATAAAAGGTATATTCTGAGTGCTTTCATTTTTTTTCTGTGAAATAGAGAAAGCATTTGATACGGGTCCACATTATAAACTACTCGTACTTAATATACTTATGGTATTGGAGCTCCTGCACTACAAATCATCTATCTAAAATAAATCAAATTGTTAAATTCCGAGAATCTTACAGCGAACCTCTGAATATTAAAACTGGAGTTCCACAGGGCACTGTTCTTGGACCAATTTCACTTATCACATACATTAATTCACAAACTACGAGCCCCTTCCCACTTCAGTTGGCCCACTTCAAGATTTGTACCAAAATATGCCTTTATAAACTAAACATGACGAAACTATTTACTTATAAAATAATTTATTTTCTCAAAAACATTTTAGATACACTCTAGTTGTAAAAAATACATATTTGAAATCACTTAGACCTATAACTAATAGAACATCTGAATAAATAAATAATGTGTGCATAAATGCGCGAAGTTAACAAAGCAACAATTGAAAGATTACCATTGGGTAATATCACCTTCATTTTTTATTACGGCTGAAATTCTTTGGGGCATAGTGTTAACCAAGTTTTGGCAAAAATTTGGTGTGAAACAATCCCATATTTCTTGAAGCTTTGGTCTCAGTTTGGTGATTGTACGAGCAGGATGTTGTCGTAGAACCTTTTTCATCCCGTGCCACAAAGTTTCAATAGGTGACAGATCTGGACTGCTAGAAACCCATTTCAAAAGTGGTACATTATTTTCTTCCATCCATTTTATAGCCTTTTTTGAGGTATGGCACGCTGCACCACCTTGCTGAAACACAAAATCTTGGCCGGATGTCAAACATTCTTCCAGCACTGGTAAAAGAGATTCTTCTAAAATTGCCAAATATTTGTTTGTATCCACATTTCCATCAATAAAGTGAAGTTTTCCTACTCCTTTTGATGACATACTGCCCCAGACCATAATGGATGCTGGAAATTTCACTTTTCTCTTCAGACAGTCAACATGGAATGTTTCATTTTTTTTGCGAATAACTCTGCGACTGTCACCAACACCAAGTTCGAATCGGGCCTCATCACTCCATTGTATTGCACACCATTGTTGAGGTGTCCATTGTCTATGTTCTTTAGCCCATCTAAGCCGATTTTGCTTTTGCAGTGGAGTTAATATTGGCTTTTCTTTGGTCTATAAACAAGTTGTGCAACTTTAGGGTTTTTACTTCACTTTTTTTATAAGAAAACTTACCTTGCAAGTGCTGAATCCCAGTTTGTGGGCCTCTCTATGAGTTGTGGACCTCGAAAATCTCCTTCCAACAGCGTCACTCCACAGAGCACTTAATTGTAAATAATTGACACGCCTGTTTTTTACGATTATTCTTCTTAATGCTCTTCGGTCGGCATTTGTGATATTACTTTTTTCACATATCGTAGCTTAACCAGTTACATCTTCTAACAATATTTCTCACACTGTACCGCGATAAGTCTAACAAAGTTGCAATTTCTGAGTTTGATTTCCAGAATTAAAAAATTTAATTATCAGTAACTGAATTTTCTCACTAATAACCTTTCCTCTACCCATTTTGAAAACCTTAACTACCCAAAACTATTTTAAACATATTCTGACAACTGTGATTAATAAAAACAATTGTCATGGCTTTTATTTTTCACAGCCACCTATGCGTTATAGACTTATTTTGCATTGATATGAAAATATGTTGATATGCTGTAATTGCAACATGTGTTATTTTTATGCTGCAAATTTGATTAGGGCGTGATAAAGTTGTGTGTTTTCTACTATATATTATCAAAATATTCATTATTAATATTTTAAACCTATAACACATTTTCATTATTTGTGTTTGATAAGAAAAAAACTAAGATTTCAATAGTTGGGCCAACTGAAGTGGGAACGGGCTCTTAATAGACCTGATTTTTGTGAAATTTAATAATAATAATAATCCTCTCTTTATTAAAAGGCGCAGTTTACTAAATACTAATAGTAAATAATAAAAATTTAATTATACATGTGAATGTACACAGAAAAGGAAAAAAAATGCGAAGTGAGTGGACAAACTATGTAGTTGAATACTTTTCTAAAATGAATTCTTTTATTTGTTTTTAAAGTCATTGTAATTTATTGATTTTAATGCCTGAGGTACTTCATTATAAAGCGTTATCGCGTTGTATGCGAAGCGCTTTTGAAAGGATGTGGTTTTGTGATGAGGCATTGTGAGCGTCTCAGTAAATCGTATGTCTCTTGTGTGAATTGAATTTCTAGGGATCAGCTTGTTCTTCAAAAACGAGGGTATCGAAGTAAGCAAGAGCTCATGAATGTAAGTTAATAAGTGTAGCTCATATTCACCTTCAACCATCCCAAGTCTCTTAAACCGCTTATATGGTCATATTTTATTTAACCGTGAAAGAGTTATTGTATCTAAAAATGGATTGCAAACTATATCAAGTAATTGATTTTGGACATAATTAATGATTCGCATAAGATATTTTTAGTTTGATAATCGAGAATTTGTTTATTCTGATATAATTGACGTAGGATCGGAAAGCAGCTTTTAGTAACTTTGTTTACATGAGGTATGACCTTGAGCCACTCATCAAAAAGAATTCCCAGGTTTTTGATTGATTTTAATTTCGATAGTAGCACCATCTAAGCTAACATTGAAGTTGTCTTTAACATAATTTCTAAAAGGTTTAGGTGAAAAACTGACCATTTTTGATTTTGAATGGTTTAGTTTGAGGTTATGATTTTTTGCATATGCACTAATTAATTTTATATCTTCATTAATTTCATATTCAGCAATTTGAGAGTCATCAGCAAAAACTTGAATACTACAATGTTTGAAAAATGTGCAAGTCGGCGATATATAAATTAAATAATAATGGACCGAGTACAGAACCTTGGGGTGTTCCAGATGAAATAGCACATTTAGGCGACATATCCATATCGATAGTAACTCTTTGGAAGCAACTAACTAAACAACTACCCATCATACTTACAGAAGAACTGGAAAAACCGTAAAATTTACATTTATCAAGTAACACACGATGATTGGGACTATCGAATGCCTTACTAAAATCAAGAAGTGCTAGTGTTGTTATCATATGCTGATTCCACGTTCTAACAATGTTGTCTGTAAGCTCCAACAATGCACCTGCAGTATTGTAACCCTTTCGGAAACCACATTGTACTGATGGTAATATTTGAGTTTCCGATAGATATTCATTATTTATTTAAGCGTACATGCCCTTCTCTAATAATTTAGATAGCCCAGGTAGAATACTAATAGGTCTCAAATCAGATGATGTGGGATTACTATTTTTTGCAATATTAGTGATTCTTTCCACGATTCAGGAAATAATCCGTTCATTAGACAATAATTTATAATATGGAGGACGTGGCTCCTAAGCGATATACCGTCACTTCCTAAAATTTCTTTTCCGAATTTTGAAACTGACATCTTAGGAAACATATAGGAATAATAAAAGACAAATATATATTAAATAAAAAAATAATATTCGCAAATAAATTCATAAATTCTGTCTTTTGCGGGATATGCGGCCAAAAATTGTATTGTTGATTATATATAAATCACTAATTGAATCACCAATGCGACAAGGAATTCTAGTGTAGGTTGTACATATTATTACTAAAAAAAATATTTTGAAAATAATTTATAAAAAAGAAAAATAGTATCCTTCATCTTTATTATTCAATGAAGAAATATTCAATGTTAGATCCTTATTCATACTTGCTGTATATGTTCATCAAATTAAAAATATAATTTTATATGTGAATCATCAATATAATACAAGATGTAGAAGCCACCGGGATCTATTGTTAGCAATGAACCATAGAAATATCAATAAACGACTCAAACATTAGAGACACCAGGACCCAACATCTTTTCGTAAAGCAATGTAAATTGTGTATCTATGCGAAATATGTACACTCAGTTTATGAATTTATTTTAGAATATTATATGAAAATTACTTCTGAATATTGTATTTTTATAAATATTCAAGTCAGAGCTTATTGATTATGTACTAATCAATATTGTTAATATTTACTTGAATAATTTATGTACATAAATCCCAAAGTTTTGAGCACATGCAGCTATTAAATTCGCTAGGTACTAAAGCATACACGATTATGTACTATACTGAATGTCCCAAAGGTATGGACACACAAATATCTCGAAAACTAAGGGTTCTAGAAAAAAACTTTGAATAGAAAAGTTTTAGGAAATCAAATTGCGTATCTACTGAAGCTCTTGGATTTGACGCTGACATCCACCTAAACGTTCTTATCAGGGGCAAGTTCATTTTTTGAAATGGGAACCCCAATTTTTTATTGCAGAAATAGTTCGCCAAATAAAAAAAAATATTAACGGTATGGATATTAAGGGACTTAAAGTACTTCTAGAGGTTATTAGGTCAATTGTTGCTCTTTCATGGAATGCTGCGAAGCAGCGGCTAGCTGGAAAAACAGAATATCAAAGAACTTAATGCGGAAATTGCAGGGCACCCAACGGCACATCTGATGGTGATCTTCCGTCTAATCTTGGTTATGACCTTGGAGGTTAATTTAAGGTCAAATCGATTTTTCACATGGAAATCATGAATTTTGACCTTAGCGCTGGAAATAGAGAAAAATCCTTTGTTTAGGTTTAGGTTTAATTAACGGCGGTAAAATCACACCTGACAGTTATTTCAAGGCCAAATGAAATATTTTTGTGAATTACACTAACCGAACTAATAATTACCGCTATCCTCCTATCATGAGAATAGTCATTCGATCACAGTCAGTCAGACGATCCCTCGGAGGATCCATTTTCAACTAGAAAAACTGAATGCTTCCAGCAATTGCATCGGGCGTAATCCTCTTATTTGACTTTCAAAGCGACGTGACCTATCAATGTAGAAACGGTTTATGTTTTTTATGTACATCGCCTTTATTTCTGAGACCCATCGAGTCGCCTCTCTAGACATCCACGATGCTCTGTTGCTTAAAGAATTCGTCTTTCTAATTAAAAATGGATCGTCCGAGGATAGTCTGACTGATAGTGATCGATTAACTACTCGCATGATCAGAGGATGGGGGTAATATGGTTAGGTCGTACCTGAGCTTGTTATAACCTCTAGATGTGATTTTACCTTCGATAATTAAACCACTGAATATGATATTTTTTTCCATTTTCAGCGTTGGGATCAAAATTGAGGGTTACCATGTGAAAAACTCAATGTGACCTTGAATTGACCTTCAAAGTCATAACTAAGGTCAGAATGAAGGTCACCATCAGATGTGGCGTTGGGTGTTCTGCAATTTTTGCATTGAACGTTTTTCGTGAATAGTCTTCTTTTTCCAGCTATTCGCTGTTTCATAACATTCCATGAAATACCAACAGTTGATCTTGAAATAACTTCTTGATGTAACTCTAGCTCCTACGATATTTTCACCATCTAGAAGGAAATTTTATAGGCTTTCCATTTCGGCAATCAAAACTGGGGGCTCCTATTTGAAAAAATCAACTTGCCCTTGAAATTGTCGTGATGGTGAATGTCAACGTCAAATCCAGTATCATTACTAGATGCGGCATTTGATTTACAAGAACCTTCGTATCAAAATGTTTTCTAGCACCCGCTAGATACGTGGGTGTGTGCATATTTTTGAAACACCCTGTAAACTATGCGAAAAATACGTTATACCTACCACCATCCTTGTAAAAATTGTAAATGTTCTTAAATAAATGAACTAAGAATTAAGATTTGCGGTAGATGACATGGGCTAGAATGTGCCCCTGTCCCTACAATGGATGTTAGGCTTCCATCAGATGTAAGGGAAGTAATCTTTATTCTGTAATGTTAACAGTTCAATATGAATATATGGTCACGTCACGTACTATCGGAATACACAAAAAAAATAAAACCACATTGTCCGATTCTTCCAACGCGAAATCCATAGGATTTAAATAAATTATCTTTCAATAAAATATGGAAACTTCACACACATTTAAACGGACCAGGTACGAGGATAAACTGCAATATTCTTGTGAAATAAATGTAAACAATTTATTTCAGGCAAACTCAGTTTCAAAAATAACAATCAACACGATTCGGTAATTCGACTAGTCCACTTGCCATCATTGTTGTTTCTGTAAGTTGTATTGTGTTATAGCAAACGCTCCATGTTGTTTCGGCTATCAATAACGTCCTGCATAGGACAGGATTGTTCATGGCACTCAACATTAGGTTCTCTATCGGATTTCAGTCCTAGTGTACAATAGACAATAGCATTGGCCGCCCCTTACCACTTCACCTCGTACCCCCCTTTCAACTGTTAAAATCCCCCGGATCCCAAACAGTCGATTCCGGATATAATCCGGGAATGTAAACAGTGGCGTATCGTCTGATGTAAAACACAACAATGTTAATCATGGATATCCAAGATTTTTATTTCATCTAATAATAGTGATACTGCTTCGGTCCGCTCGATGGACCGTGTACAGCGCTATTTCACGCTTTTTATATACCGAAGCAGCCGCGTAGGAAGAAGCCTAAATACCAGGGCACCGCTGCTGTTATGATGAGCTTGATGAAACTTTGTTAATCCGATTTTTGAGCTAAGGTAAGTAAAACTGGGAAAAGCCTCATCAGGTAGATTGTTCCACAATCTCGAGACCCCTGTCCTACACTACCTGGTGCAGCATCAAGTGGTTGTTTCACGATGTAATATGTTAATAATTGTAACTTCCATCCCAAATATTTTTAATCCGTTGTGATGTTACTGTTACTCTCATCTACATCACCCACCTTGTTAATAGTTGCCTTGAAAGAGGTTATTTCCCTGAAACGTGGAAGCGAGCAATTGTGGTACCAGTTCCAAAAAAATCAAATCCAGATGAGTTTGCTGATCTAAGACCTATAAGCCTATGCCTTGTTTATCGAAGGTAGTTGAAAAGGCAGCCCACATACAACTAATGCATTATGCAGAGGAACATATCATCTCATCTAATCAGTCTGTTTTTAGAAAATCTTTCAGTACTACTACTTCCCTCTTAAACTTGGTTATTAGAGCACTTGATAAAAAAATGGGCGTAGCAGTTATGTCAATCGATTACTCCAAGGCATTTGACAAAATAAATCATGAGTTGTTAATAGCAAAGTTGAAGTATTATGGCATAGATCCAATTGCATTGAACTTTTTTCGAAATTATATATCAAATCGATCGCAGTGTGTATCAATTGAAAACAATAAATCTAGTTTTCTAGAAATCTCGTCTGGAGTACCCCAGGGGTCTGTTTTGGGTCCCTTGTTGTTTTTGATATATATTGCTGATCTGCCTAAGGCTGTGAGTTTTTGTGAACTCGAGTCTTTTGCGGATGATACTCAACTGGTCCATTATTTTGATACTGATGATATGGAAATTTCACAGACATCAATAAACCATGATATTCAAAAAGTGTATGACTTCTCGAATAACCACAACCTGTCAATAAATCCTGGTAAATCCAGCCTGTTATTTTTTTGTTCAGATCGTAGGAGAGAAGAAATTAAAAGTCGATTAACTATTAAAATTGGATCTCAAAGACTGTACCCGGTTGACGAGGTTAAAATTCTTGGCGTGGTAATCGATTTCAAACTTAGATTCACCAGTCATGTTAAAAATCTTTTGAAGAAAACCTACTTGAGACTGAGATCACTATATGCCAATAAAGCAATTTTCAATTATAAGCTAAGGAAAAAACTGTGTTCATCTTTGGTTATGCCGATTTTTAACTACTGTGATCGGATTCAAATTCTGCAAAACAATTGTGCTAGGTTCATCTGCGGTTTAAGACGCTTCGACCATGTTTCTGGTAGTGTTATTGAATTAAACTGGATGATAACAAAAAATATTGTCAAATATCATTACCTTGTTTTCATTCATAAACTAATACTTATGTCAAAACCTATATACTTAAGAGAAAAGCTGATCTTTAGGCGTAATATTCATCATAGACATATTAGATTTCCAGATTTGATAACTACACCTATTCACTCCACAACTTTATTCCAGCGTTCTTTCACGTACAGTGCTTCAGTGTTATAGAAATTGCTATAGATATATTGTTAAATGATTCTTCACTTCCCTTGTGTACATGTAGTAAACCTTGGTGCAACATGTATGTATATATGTGTGTATATGTATGTATATACATATGTATGTACATATGTATGTATTTACATGTGTATGTATATTTTGTTTGATATCTGCTACTTAACAACTTGTTTTTTTTTGCATGGGTGGTTAAGTGTAAGAGTAGCATGTTGCTAAACTTCGCCACCATATGCAACTCTTGTTTCTCTGTATGAAATTGTACAGTTTAAATAAATTATTATTATTATTATAATGTGCTTCTGACATACATCTGTGTGCGTTTTTTTACCATTTTTAACGAATGTACCATGGATCCAGCTTTCACCAGGTTACTAAATGTTTCCCTCAACTTAACCTCTGATAACATTTAGCAACAGTCTCACATACTATTGTAAAATCATTTTGCGCAATAGTTGCTATTTCTTCCTAATGTTGTTGTAGCTCCTGAAGATGATGGCATAGCCCATCGAAAGCTAGAGACTAATAAAATATAAAGAGTCCTCATCGCTTTAATCTTGTCGAAGTACCCAACTAAAGGCGGAAGCTTTATATATATATATATACATATAAATTTAATATGAATGGAATCGAAATCATAATACATTTCAATTTTTTTCCCGTCAGTGTCACTTGTCACCCATATGTATAGTCGGGAACTGCGTTGCTGGGGAGTATTGTATATGCTGAGCTTTGGCATTAACAACTGTATTAGCTCCTGCCAGTGCTCCAAGTACTCTAAACTCCAAGTTATGAGAATGTGTACATTAGACTCAACCTCCGACTCGAGCAGCGATATCCTCCTTGGCCGATATCGCGATTCTGCCGTTTGGAGTTTGTTTGTCCTCCAGATTAATCCATCTGCATTTGCGTCGGAGCCTTTCGGAACGTTTCCCTCGTCCGGAGTTGCGGGAGGCAAGTTTTGAGTTCTCTGCCAGTCGCTAGGCGATTAGCGGTTCGTTGTTTGTTTTAAATTTGTCCCGACTAAGCGTTTTGCTCTCGAGTATTCGGAAAGATATTCTATTCGGCCAACGGCCTTTAAAATTATCAGTACTGTTGATTAGTTATTCGTCTGGAATTATAGCTGGTGGCTTAAAGATTGGAGCTCAAAAAATAATACTGTGATTTCCCCAAGTTTCCAAGTACTAACTCGTCATATTTTATAAATTCCCCACAGACCATTAGACTAAAAATAAAATGGTTGATCATACATGCTGATACAATAAATTAACATTTTCACTAGTAATATCACAGGAAAAAATCAGATAATAATTTTAGAGAGCAATACATAGTACAACGGTTTAATTTACATAGTCTGTGTGCCATAAAGTGAAACAAAAAAAAAACGGACACAGAAAAGAGGAAGGTGCTTTAAGTTGAGAGAAAAAAAAACTATAAACATGATTAATAGATATCAGGAAACCAGAATATACTCGTATATACATACATATCCATATACACATACATACACATATATACATATACACACACACATATATATATATATATATAAAATTAAAGCTTCCGCCTTTTGTTGGGTACTTCGACAAAATTTAAGCAAAGAGGACTCTTTATACTTTTTTAATTCTCTCTAGCTTTAGGAGTATGTGAGGATGTTGCTAATTGTTGTTTACGTATAGGATGAGGGAAACGCCCAGTAACATGGTGAAAGCTGGATAGATGGTACAACGGTCAAAATTATATAAAATATGACAAGAACAAGTTGAAAACTGATTAAAATTTTTTTTAAAAACATGAATGCTTTCAACATCGTGAAGCCACTTGATGATTGCACAAAACAAACAAAAGGCGGAAGCTTTAATTTTTCACCTAACTGGTCTAGACGACAATGACCACGTCTCAAGATTTATATATATATATATATATATACAGGGTGGCGCATCGAAAACGAAACAGACGCATTTACTGGCAGCTCAGTCCTTTTTTGGAAAAACGTTCAGACCCGTCGATTTTGTTTACAAGGGGGACACAAGTCTGACAAAAAATCACGTTAACACGTACAGCCCCCTGGGCGGGGGTGACACCAACCCTAAAATCTTAAATGGAAAGGAGGGTAGAGTGATACCTTATTTTAAAGGTCTTTCAATTCCCTTTATAATGATGTAAAATACATGAGCTTCAGTTTAGTAGTTTTGAAGATTTATTGATTTGAAGCTTAAGATAGACTTTATTAGGTAGGTACATCAGATTAGTTTGTACTACTTTCAGAAGAAATTTGACTAAAAGAACTTACTTAATAAGTAAATGCTATTACTCACTACGCTCATGGTTTGTTTATTATTTTGTTGTTGAAAATAGCTATTGGAGCGTTTTTTTGTGACAAAAAGTTATTTCTTGAAGAAAGATAAGGAAATATCTCGTACTTATTTTAAGTAGGAATTTAGAACATAGTTTGCGACTGATTTGACCAAACTTTGTTGCTAAAATAACTTTTAACGCTTTATTACATAAATTAACCATGGTATATTCCCCAGCAGAAAGAGTTGAAATTATCGAAATATTTTTCGGAAATAATCAGTGCGCTAATAGAACAGCAGACATATTTAATGAGCGACATGAAAACAGTAACGTGCATCGAAAATATGTTCTAGAACTCGTAGCTAAATTTCGGGAAACTGGGTCAGTCGCCACTAAAAAACGCAACATTGAAAATCCCATAAGGAACGAAGCAATAGAAGTGGGGGTTTTAGGGCCAGTTTATGTAGATCCTACGTTAAGTACCCGCAAATTGGAGACTGTGTGTGGTGTTAGTCGACGGACTGTCCAACGGATCCTAAAGGCCCATAGTTTTCATCCGTATAAAATTCACCTGGTACAAGAACTTAATGAAGACGATTTTGATCGGCGATTACAATTTTGGAAAGATATGAGTGAACGAATTATAAACGATGAACATTTTCTATTCAACAATTGCTTTTCCGACAAATGTTCTTTTTTCTTAAATGGCGTAGTAAATCGTC